AAGAGTTCAACGATATCTGTATTCTGCCATCATGACAACAGGTGGGAAGCAAAAAAGCAAGCTTCTGAATTCTTCAGAGTCCTCCATCAGGCTGCACATTGATGAAACACAGGAAGGAGTGTGGAGAAACAGAAAAGTTTAGAATCCATTCTAGCCAGATGGCATAGCTATGGGAGCTGTAGTTGCTCAAGTTGCTCAACTGGAGACTGCAAGTTTAGAGAATTAGCTTGAAGCTGGTCCAAGATATTTTGGTGTCTGAGGCCAGAGCATCAAATGGTACCCATCCCCATTCACCCAAATGAAGATGGAGAGCTCTGAGAACAAGCCATCTTGTTTTGGCATATAAAATAGAAAGCCACATGAGTATCTCTCCCCAAACTGAGCAATAAAATGACAACAATCAGGTAACCGTCAATTTCCTGCTTTTTCACAGTACTCAGCATCTCCTGCCTGAGGGAGCCATCTAATGTTGTCATCAGCATGCACATAAAATATTTTGTATCATTTGCTGGTTGCATATATCTCTGTAAGCAACGGGCTCGCAAGCAGCTACATTCCTTCTTGGATATAGATGGTACTATTTTGAATATACGTAAGTGGCTCCCCATGCTTAGCAAATAACTTTGCTACAGGATATACCTCTGAAGTATGTTCTCTCTCCATATGTGGAGGATGGTTCTGGATATAACAAATAACACAATGGTCTAAATGCAATTTTGTCCCAGTTACAGTGAACCCACTGATCAATGGGACTTATATGAGTGTTGTTGACTAACCACTCTCATCCATTGCAGTGCATCATAAGTCTATTTGTGACCAACATTTGGTTTAACCATTCATATGGTTGTGATAACTGACAAGTGAATACTAAGCCTTTCCTAGCTTATTATAACTTCCAGTGTAAAGATCATGCAATGACATTTTAAGTTTGTGTGAACTACTTTGAAATAATAGCTTTTAAAAATGGCAATGAATGGTTTTGCATTTGAATTCATGTGATTCAACCTAACTAGCCTATTAAAAAGAATAGATACCATATTATAGTAAGTAGCAATATTAACACAGAAAGTTGGAACTTGGACTGTGTTCACAAGTTACATGTGGAAGAAATAAAGTTTCGCATTATAAATCTCTGTTCCTGGTTGCTTTACATTCCAAGGATTGGTCTTCCAGTGGTAACTGTTTCTGTTCTGTCTTTTGGAAAGTTACTGTAATTTCATACACATTCTTGAAAATCAATCTTTCATTAGAAGCAACTGTTTAAAGAACTTATCCACACTCCAGGCCTTTCTTAACAGTATTTTCAGCTAACTGGGTGGCATGTAATAACATCATAGTGCAAATTCTGACCTAGCATAGTGGAGGGATGGAGAAAAATATGCCATATTCAAGGTCACTTGATTAATTCTTCTACTGTAAATGCTTATGTTATGCCCTGTGGGGAAGTTCAGTGCTGTTTATAATTACAATAGTTTTAAATCTTTCCCCAAGTAATTCACTTTAAACAGTGTCAATGACAGGTGTAATGATCAATATCACATATACTCAAGGTTCCCCCCTCAAAAAACATGCCTTGTAGCCATTTAGTAAAGTGTGATTCTTGCTTGATATAGGAAATTCAGAGCCAGAGCATTCTTAGGCAGTTGCTACTCTGTCTTCGCATGATGATCTTTAGTATTTTGTCACTTCTCTAGGTATTGGGTAGAGTGTGGAAAACTTAGTTCTGGGACAACAATCTCCCAGGAAGTATGACAAATGGGCATGGCAAGGAATTCTGGTAACCACTGTACCAAGAAGTAAGTTTTCCAGATGCTGGTAGCTCCAGTAACAGCTCTTACCATCAAGGCATTTCTCCTAGTTATCGGTTGTTCTACTAAATAGTGTTTAGGCAGAGAGGAGGGCAAGAGACACTGTAGATTTGCCCAAAGATTGCATCTGATGATTTATCTGTAGAGGTGTAGAGCTTGGAAAAATTACTTTTTCTGGCTGTAACTCCCAACATCTCCAGCCAACGTAGCTTAGAGCAAAACATGGGCTACAGTAGAACTAAGTTCTACATTTCCGAGTTTCTTAGGACGGGAGCATTTTGACTGGCCTGTTGGCTATGGGCTGCTGAATAGAAATGATTTTAGCTTCTGCTCTTTAAATATTTAAATATTAATAGGACGTGCTGGCGCTGTGGGCTAAACCACAGAAGCCTGTGCTGCAGGGTCAGAAGACCAGCAATCGTAAGATCAAATCCACGCGACGGAGTGAGCTCCCGTTGCTTGTCCCAGCTCCTGCCAACCTAGCGGTTCGAAAGCATGCAAATGCAAGTAGATAAATAGGGACCACCTTGGTGGGAAGGTAACCGCGTTCCGTGTCTAAGTCGCACTGGCCATGTGACCATGGAAGATTGTCTTCGGACAAAACGCTGGCTCTATGGCTTGGAAATGGGGATGAGCACCGCCCCCTTGAGTCCAACACGACTGGACAAAAATTGTCAAGGGGAACCTTTACCTTTACCTTTAAATATTTACTGAAGATATGTCTACTATTAGTTGGATTCTGTTTATGGCTGACTTCATGTGTTCATTCGTGGTTTCATACTTGTGGCTTGCCTTGATAGCAATTTTTGGAAGCTGCTTTAAAGGAAACATATAAATGTATGCAAATAAAAAAATATTGTTACAGGCTTAGATTATGAGCTCTTCCTCAGTCAAATTAAGTACATACTGCGAGCAGGAGGAGATAATTGCTTGTCTGAAAGCTTTGCTTTAGAACTGATAGGTTTGTTCTCCTTGCAGTCCAGGGGATTCTCAAGAGCCTCCTCCAGCACCACAATTCAAAGGCATCAATTCTTCGGCGGTCTGCTTTCTTTATGGTCCAGCTCTCACTTCCATACATCTTGAAAATACATCTTGAAAAGCAGAGACATCACCTTGCCAACAAAGGAAACATATAAATGTATGCAAATAAAAAAATATTGTTACAGGCTTAGATTATGAGCTCTTCCTCAGTCAAATTAAGTACATACTGTGAGCAGGAGGAGATAATTGCTTGTCTGAAAGCTTTGCATCATATGGCAACCTTCTTGGTGCCTGCACTGAGATTTTAGAACATTTTGCCTTGTGCATTCTATTTAGGCCCTTCTTTTTCTGCCTCAGGTCCTTTGGTCAAGAATCTTTCATTCTAGTCATGCAAACTTTTGCCTTGCCAAACAGATTTTCTATGATAGACTTGGCTTTTATCTGAGGAGCTTGTTTCTATTTTGCAAGCATTGTGTAGTGCTTTTAATGGTATCTTAATTGTTGTAAGCCACCTTGAATAATGGATACTGATTGACTGACAGATAGGTTATATTTGTTCGGTGTCTTGTCAACAATCTCTAGGCATCATAAAAAAGTGAGGGGGAAATAATAATACTATGACAAATTGAGGAATAAATCTTAAATTCCAACCCCAAATCCACTTCCTAAATAAAACCCAACAGAAAGCGGTACTGAATCATTGGAAAACCAGACAAAATCTACATTTTGTGGTAACTTTATTAGGACTAACACAAATCACCCAGATCAGTGATAACCCTAGAAGCATGAAGGTAGGACTTTACTATTCATGGGTGAGAAGTCCTTTGATCACAGTAGCCTGATATATTCTCTATGGCCACTAACAAAAGCAGGGCTCCAAAATGCTAGCTCCTGTTTTTGTGGATCCTGGGAAATCAGATGCTGTTCTTGAATGAAGGTGGGACTGCTGTCACAGAACTGAGAATAATACATATACTTGAAGAAGGCTGAGATACTATGCAACCTTACTTAGAGTAAGTTACATTGAAATCAATGAGCCAATCTGGAATTCCTATCTGTAGGGTCAGTCTCTGTACATACAGTGACTGGAATTATCTGAATCAAACCACTGAATTATGCTATTTTGCATACCCAGTTTAGATTCATCATTAAAGAAATCTTAGCTGAAAAATCAAATGAGTTTTAGACAGCAACTCTATCACTAAATTAATTGAAGTGCTGCAATGTACATTCAAATAAAAGAATGTTTCTGAAGAAAATCATTATTTTAAGATGAGATCATTTTGGAGTCAACACAATCTAAGTGAGGAGATTTGTTGTTTACTATGGTCCCTGTTGCCCATCTTTTAAAATTTAAAATAATTAACTTTTTTTAAAAATACTGTTTTTTAAAAGAAAAAAAGAAAAAGGGAACAGCTAAATTGAACAATTAATTGACTAACATTATTATCTGGATAAAATGCTACATTAACAAAATGAAAGATACTTCCACTTAAGTAACAACTGCAGAAATGTTTTGAAGAAAGCAGCAGGATTTCCATGGCTACAGTCAAATCTTATTCATGCTTTCTTGGACTATGCAGTGAACTTACTGGGGCTTACCATCTACTCAGATGCGCATAAGCATGCTTAGAATTGCACTATAAATCTATTTATTTTAACAATGTGCTAAATTAAAAAGTTATACATACAAAAATATATCTCCATTTTACTCACTGTGTTCAATTTCATAGTGGCAATATAGTTGAGCCATTTCTATTACAGAAAATCAGTTCTAAACCTGATTTTGTTCTAGTATTTGTGGTAGCAATTTGTTGTAAACATGATAAATGTCTTACTCTATTCAGCACTGCTCAATGAGCCATTTTGAGTTGCTCAGCAATTTGCTTTATAAATTTATAGGATAACAATTCTCAATGGTGGACTCAGGTTTTTAAGCAGTTGCTAGGATATGAAGAATGACATTATATCTGAAGAAGTGGACGTCCATGAAACCCACATTAAAATATAGCAGTTAGTCTTTAAGGTGCCACAACATTTTGTCTTCTTTATTTTTTCATTTTTTTGGAATTTAGAGTACTGACTTTTCTAAGGCCTTCAGCCTACAGATAACTGTATTTCTTTCCTCTTTTTTAGTGGATGTTATTCTAGTGCCCTCAAAATAGTGTCTCTCTAACTGTCTCTTCCTCCCTTCCCCTTCTTTACACAGACACAATTTTTAATCACATTTTTTAAATTTTTGTTTTCATTCTCCCATCTTCCTCATGGGCAAGCAAGTAATTTGGTTCATAAAGCATTCAGTAAGAACTGAGGTGACAACAACTCTGACAAATGCTGAGAACTGTTGAAGTTTTCAGACTGGAATCAGGTGACCAATGGCTTCAGCCCACATGGAACAATGAGAACAATAAGCCATGTTGATTTCCAGTGCAAAACAATTCTATATTGGGATTTCCAATGTGGTACAGTGGACAGAGTAATGGACTAGGGCTCTGGAGAACAGGGTTCAAATCCCCACTTGCTCATGGAGACTCACTGGTGGAATGCAACTGATAAAACCACTCCATAAAATCTCACTTACCTTAAAAGCCCTGTCAGGATTGCTGTAAGTCAGTTCTGATTTGATGACACAGAACACACATCTTGCAGTTTTAAAAAAAGATGCCTGTAGTACAGATTTAATGACTGTTGAAGACTCTCTCGCCTTCAGTTTTTGATAAACCACCCAAAGATTGTTAATAATTCCTAGTAGGCCCCGGGACTTTCTACAATTATTTATACAATTATATGCAATACATGAAGCTGCTTCCTTCACAAACAGCCTCACAGCTACACTATGGTCATTTCCAGAAAAGAACTACTCTTCATGTCAGAGACGCTAGCAAAGTTAATACAATATACAGAGAACTGATGTTCTTGCAAAGTGAATGTAACTTTTTCATGTTGCATGTCTGCAGAAAATGGCTACAGTAAAATAATTCAGATGGTAATTCATATAAGCCACAACCACCCAGAATTGGGATCATTAATTTTTTGGACTCCCAGAATCCTCCAGGTCGAGTACAACTGTAGTCCAGAAAAACCATTTCTCCAGCCTGTGTACCATCACTGCTAAGTTCTCCTCCCCATCATCCATTTATCTGTCAGCTGAAGTGAGCATGGCTGGCCTTTTATGTGCTACAAATAATGTAGTAACATATGCAGAAAGGACATGGATCTTGCATTCTTCCAACACGTCAAACACCTGTAGCCTGAATGGGCAAGAATGGTATTTGTTCTGATGTTTTCAAAATTGTCGTTTAGACACTATTTCCGGAGTTCACAAATTACAGTCAGTTAGTAAGCCCTCAGATTTCCTAACTCAGTTCAGCCAAACTGTGTGCTATGTGGAGTTGGGGGCAGTGGGGGGGGGAGGGGAGTTAGTTCCTAGTGTCTTTAGGGTGCCCTTCCAGTGAAGCAGCTGAAGGTCACTGTGTGAATCAAACCATACTTCTGTTTAACTGGAGACTGAGGCATGATCCGCTACTTCCTCTGGCAGCAGTCATTTCCACTGCTCACTGTGCTGAAATAAGAGAGGTGGGAAGAAAGGAGAAATCAGAACTTGGACTCAACAAGTTACAGGCAATAACATCATTACCCAATGTAGCTCACACAGTTATGTCCTATATGGGAGCTGTTTCTTACAAGTTGCTTCTAGTATAGCTGGGCTTCTACACAGGCTAGACTCAAACCAAACCACTTGGAAAATATGAAAATCAGAACTAAAATTTTTGGTTTTATTTTGATTCTTACTAATGTTTCCATGTCATGGAATTTATCCCCCCAAAGTTCAAAAATGTCCTACTTACAGTGTTCTGAGAGGCAGAAATAACCAAGATCTTCTGTATAACAGTCTGTTCTTCCTGGGGCTCTTTCTTTGTGATTATCATCACATTCCATTGCAACAATTAACTAAAAAAAATAGACAATACATGTGCATTTCTAACGAGAGATGGGATATATGTATGTTATTCCTACATGCAATAATTATTTGAAATATACAATTGCAATTTATTTCAGTAAGCTTCACATGTCAGAACTCTAACCATAGATTATTTGCCTTCAAGTCAGTTCCAATTTATGTGAACCCTTTCCAGGGTTTTCTAGATATAGAGTATTCACAAGTGCTATATCATTCCCTTCCTATGGGACTGTGCAGCTTGTTCAGGGTTACACAGGATCACTCTTTTCCTGGGAGGTATAGTTAGGAATTAAACTTGCAACTATACAAAATTCAATGAGCTATCCAATCAGCTGTCACAAATCTAGTCTCTAATTATTTAAGAAGAGGGTCCCCATTAATAGTCAGAACTTAGAGATAACTCATTAACTAATTAATTGTCCTTAATTTGCTTTTTAAAATATTAATTATTTTAAAAGATATTATTTTAATGACTAAATGCCAATAACATTAAATGGTGGGGTAACAAGTAACATTTGTTATTTATTTAATTTGTCCGATATGGCAAGCTTTCTTTTTCTTTTTTGCAGTTTTAGTTCTTCTAATTAATTTTTAAAATCCAAATCTGATGTGTTAATAATGTTCCAATAATGACTGTAATATTAAATTAATTTTATAATTTTCTCTTCATGGTTTAAAGTTAACAATTTAATGTTATCCCATCAGTATTAATACTTCTGGTTTCTATGGGGTTTTGTTTTTTGCTTTTTTGCTTTTTTAATGTTTTATTTCAGACTGAAAATGAAAAGATGCTCATACATTATACAAATATTGAAGTAATCTGGACACACCTATGACTATTCCCTATAAACATCCCTTCATTTTCAGCTCTGTCTTGCATATTTAAGCATCTTCCTAGCAACCTACAATGGTATCACGGTAAAAGATTTTGTATTTTATAAATTGCAGTTGGTAACTTTATCCATTGTAGTTGGTAGCTTCATGAAACAGATCCACAGAATATCAACCAAATTAACAAAAGATAAAGAGTTGACAATGCAAAGTATGTCACAGCAGATTAAGATAGATTTGATCTTAATGACTCAGTCCAATGTTTAGCTATTTAATTAACTCTCATACTTATATTAGTAACTGAGCCTGACAGTAGCAACAACTGCTGCTAAGGACAGTCCGCTTGCTGTCGCGAACAGTCTAAATAATGTGGTTGCAGTTCTAGTGCACTCTCCTGGTTTTAGAAATTCTATATGTGTTTACAAATCATGTTCTTCCTCTTTGGGGAGGAATATGAATATATACCGAAACGTCTTTGTCCTATTTTCAAATTATTATTTTTTTGTTATCTGTTATTTGGAGCACAAAAAGTGATATACTGTCGTTTTATATGATCAACAATACAAATTATGGAACTGTGGTCAGTATGTATTGAAAAACATACTATCAATACTAGCACAGAGTGCTGTCCACAGAGACTGGAGAAACGTTAGGAAACAACCTTCAGAACACAGCCAAAGAGCCCGAAAAACCCACAACAACCATACTATCAATAGTTTGATATACTGTTTGCATTTTGGAGAATCAAACACAGAGAAGACTTCTCAGTATACTCTCTTGGAAGAGGGGGAAAGGAAATTAGGAAATACATTACACTTGCCAGCAATATTCAGTGTAAAAGGAACTTTGTTCTGTCAGGGTGGTATAAAATTGGTCTCTCTGTAAACGATAATGAATAGTTTAAGGAGATTTCATCGCTCATTTCTCTTTTGCTTTCTGACATTCTTCAGCTACCAAATGAATTTAAAGCTGTTTCTGATTTCAAAAAAAAAAAGCATTTCATCCCTTCCAAGCCAAACATCTCTGGGTAGCCCAACAGAACACTTGAACTGGGATCCTGCACCTAATTAAGTATGCATAGCCCTCCCCACCACTAGGGCCCATAAGAGGAGAGAAGGAAACATGCCAAACTGGTTTCAGGACAGCAGTCTTGGTCTCTAAAAAATGAAGCACATTTCCATCTCTGCTGTGAGAATCAGTCATGTCATCACATCGGTATTCCTTAATTTAGAACACATCTCTCCAACTGTTGCATGTGGAGCTAACAATAACACTGTCTCCTGGCTGCAATGCATTCAGGCAGCTGTGAACTTTAGAGGATAACATAACAATGAGGTAAGAGGAAACTGGGGGTCCACAGCAAAGTACTCAATGAGCCCCATGGTTATTTAATATATTTAAGATGTGAATTATTTGATGGATAATCTCAAGTGGATCCCTAATGCTCTTTCATCCTTCCCTCCTTCTCTCACTATTCCATGCTAATATAGAATTACCGGTGACTTGCGTGCTGGGAGCTGTGTGTTGTCACTGTCAACACTAACGCTGGCGGTGGTGCTGCTTGCTTCTGCACAAGGTTCCTTCTTGTAAAACTTCGGTTGTCTACTGTAAAAGAAAAAAATCCAAGGAAATGAAATGCCCTGAGTGAAAAGAAATGGTGATCGTTCAACAGAGTCATTCTAGCACTAATGTGTTTAGGCAACTTTCAACACTGTTGAGAATCAGTGCAGTATAACACCAGCCTGTAATTTACAAGAAGGACATTTCTGGTCCATGGGCCTAATTCAACCCATGAGATGTCCAGATCTGAAGGATCTAGGGGAACGCTGCCCCTTCCTTTCCCAACAGCCTCCTCCGCTGGAGATTCTGTACTTCACTCTCCATCCCAATGCAGAACGGAGCAAAGGAGAGAAAGTCCAATTTAATTCATTGTGGAAGCTGTTGTCTTTATGGGTCAAGGGCAGAGTGGTCAAAGCTGCATGCAAACCCAAGCATGGGCTACACAACTAACTCTGCAGCTGATGCTTTGGTTACAGGGTCAGCTTCACCAGCTCTGCATTCTAAATGAGGAGGGGAAAGCATGCAGGGTTCTGCATGCAGTGTTGCTCCCATTTCCCCACAAGGAAAGGCAAGGAGAAAGTAATGTGGGTTTCTGTTTGCTGCTGCCTTCACCCGGGAAGTCTATGACATCAAGGGGTATATCTATATCCATGATCTCAAGGGCTGGTGTGTGTGTGTGTGGAAAGATAGATCCAGTGCGGCATTTAAAGTGTGGAATTTAAAGTGTGGAAACTATTTTAAAGAATGCAGAGAGCTATAAACTTTGGTCGGATAATGTGAAAGCTTCTCTACCAGTCTTTTTGTGGAGTTGTGGGGCAAAAAGAAAGGTATTAGGTACTTAGAAAATCTTTCTGTGTTCTGGATGTTCTCTCCCTCCCCTTTGGTCTCTCCTTCAGAGTGCAACGGTGCTAACTCCAACTGTGTTGGAGTTAGCACAGTTAAATATATTTTCTGTTGACTACACAATGCAAAGCTAATCGTGCATAAGGTTGGCCCTTTTCCCATTGGCCTTTGGTGCTTTTTGTTCAGAAGGCAGGGTCTAGTGTTTTCTTGTAGTGATTCCACAGGGCTTGCTTGCTTGCTTGCTTCTATCCCCTGTGTTCACTTATCAGAAAAACTACAAAGGCAGCTGTCTGAAGAACAGAGGCAGGTGATGCTGAAGGTGATGTCTTCAGCTGTGTGCAGCCCACCAGTACAACAGGAACATCCCCCTCAATTGAGCACCTCTTGCCTCTCTGCCAAACAGTTTTTAAAACCATTTTTTAAAAAGGGGTTATCAAATTTGGTGCTCTACCAGATAAATGTTGCAGTTTCACAAGTTGTTATATCAGTTCAGCATTATGTCACTTGTCAAATATTTTTTTAAGGATAGAGAGGAGGTGGTTGTTAATTCATATTAATTAATATTTATATTGGTGACAAAGGAGAGTGGGTTAGAATTGTAGTAATCTGAGGAATAGTGTGTGGCCTATTGCTCTGAAAATTGTTAGGGATAATGAATCATTCTATTTAAACAACAACAACATAGCAAACTTCAAATCAACCCAGGACAACCTAGTTGCACCATCAGCTTGGCTTATTAAAATTTACTGAAATGTTATTACACCATTAGGACTATCCTGAAAGAGATTGCAGGATAGTTGCTGTATGAGATTTGAGTGAATAGGTTTTCCCCCAACCTACGGGAATACTTTGTTTTTGTTGTTGCTGCTTAACAGAGATCTGGAAATGCATGTAGCAATATAAACCAAGGATGTAGGGCAGAATGCCTCCCAAAGGGCCCTGATCCACATGCTCTTTATTCGGCAACAGAGTGGGCTTGGGGACTTCCACACACTCCTATTGTATGTCTACATTGATCTAGCCACAGTACATTAGCAAAACGTCTAATTCAAACGCTGTGCTGCCCTACATACTAACAGCAAACTGATTCTCAGAATGTGGATCCTTACCAAAACGGTACTATCCACATATCAAAGACAGTTACATGCTGAAATACCCCTCCCAAAAAATATTTGGTCCTGACCAGCTTCAGTGGACACTGAATCCTCACTGGCATTTGGAGGCAAGCAGATGGAAACTGGGATAGCAAGGGAAACAGACTGCGTTATCCCACAAGACAATATGGTTGCCTGGCTGTAACTTGCCACATATCGCAACATTTTGCAGGTTTCACTTTTAAATGTTCTAAAGAAGTAATCATAAGTGGGAGAAGACAAAAGCCATTGTGCACAGAAATCTTTTAAAAATCTCATCAGAGTAGCCTACAGTCCCATATTAATGGACAATGTGAGTTTATCTTTTATGGATGAAGGGAAGGACTTTTACTGACCTACTCACAGAACTTAATCAATATGTCTTAAAATACAGCAGAGTAGGAGCAAAAATGAAATAAGAATCCCAATCCAAATATTGGTTTCTGGGCGTCCGTTAAAGGGGGATTTAGATCAGTGGTTTCATTTTGATCTAGTTAGGCTACTAATAGCTGTAGTACAAACCCAGCCAAGCATGTAATTGAAAACTTGCTTTCAAGATAAACATTTATATTGATCAAAACCATTTGGTAAAGGTGGAAAGTAAATCAGGGCAAAACAATGACTCTGTTTTTGTTTTTAAGTGGGAACAGGTTGGAGAAAGGGTGGCTAAGAAAGGGTGCATGAATCAAGATGCCCTACTGATAGGAGTTGATAGCATTTCAGTACTGCTAAAACGACAGTTTTACTGCAGGTTCACTAAACAACTTAGCAGTCCCTATCCCATATCCTTCAGCCATATATATCACTCTGTTTCCTTTTTTTAAAAAAAAGAACTACAATCTGTTCCCAGTGCAGCACTCTGAAACCTGACCACAGAATTTAGAAAGCCTGAGAGCAGCATTTCTGCTCACGCCATTAGAACCAAGCAATGGGCATGTCACTCTGAACTTCCCCTTTTCTTGTAGAACACCAGATTCCAACACATGTCTTTGTTTTAAAAAAAATTAAAAAACCTTTTTGGAGTAAAACTCCCAGAAACGTGCAGACATGGACATGCCGATTGGGAGATTCTGGAGCTGTTGTATAAAGAAATAATTTTTGCAAGTGTTATTCCAAATATCTTTTCCCACATACTTCAGGCATTTCCCAAGAACACTGTTCCAGCACGTGGTATAAAAAGTCTCTCTCTCTCTCTCTCTCTCTCTCTCTCTCTCTCTCTCTCTCTGTGTGTGTGTGTGTGTGTGTGTGTGTGTTTTAAATGGAAGGAAGTCTATCAAAGTAAGTTTGGCATTGCAGGCATTTATGTGGTTAAAAGCCTCTTGAATTACCATCTTGCTGAGTAGTCCTGAAGCCATGGCATGCTCAAAAAAAATTCAAATTGCTCAAGTAGCGCATACAGCACCCAACAGAACTAAAAGGAAGCCCCATGACCATGACCACCACCACCACAATCTGCACCGCAAATATGGGAACATAATGGCACTGGAGAGCCATGGGTGTATGGCATATTAGAAGAATAAGAGGGCGAGTGGGAAATTATGTACATTTAATTCTGTGGAATATTTTGTACTTAAAATTATTCATTCATTCATTTGATTTTTATACTGCCCATCTGGCTAACCAGGCCACTCTGGGCAGTATAAAAATCAATTACAAAATATAAAACAATAAAATAAAGAGCGATCACAAGCAGAATTGAAAAGCTAAATAATGCTCTTAAGATTGCTCTACCTGTAGCAGTAGATGGCACCAATCCCGAGGAGGACCACCACAGACAACACAGTCAAGCAGACAGCAGTGGCAATGTTCTGCATCTTCACCTGCATTGCATGTTGCTGCTCCCACCACTCCAGGTCACTGAACTGACAGCGCTCCCCCAGGTAGCCTTTCACACAACTGTCCAATGAGCAAATCCACGGTCACCGACAAGAAGACAACCAATAATTACCATTGTTAACTGATTTCACAAGAAGTTTCTTCTGTGAAAACGTGACATTTAAATCACCTAAGTCCATTACAATCTACTGGATGTTACTGTTGCATCTAGTGTGTCGTGGCATGGGGAAGCCACATTAGCCACTCTGTCACACATTGAGGGCCAAAACCTGCCCTCTACCTGCTGCTACAGCCACTGTTGCTAAAGTATGGTTGTGCAGCAGCACATTTGCAGTGGAAGAAGGTACCAGAGCACAGCATCTCACAGAATTCTGTCGTGCTTTGTAAGAGAGCATTTTTGAAGTTGTGTCACCCACTGCACTGGTCACAATTTTGGTGGGATAGGTCCCACAGCATCCTCCTACCACAGTTCACTTATGTCTGGCTTCAGTAGTCATTACTGTACCCACCCAACCAAGCTGTTCCACAAACACTCTGGATAGGGTGAGGTGGGGTTTGAAGACACTTCTGTGGGGAGGAGGAAATGGAAACGTCTCTTTCTTCCAGTCCAATTGCAGAGGCTGAAATATGGACCTCATCCATTTAATTGTGGGGGCTTCACAAATTTTATTCAGAATGACAACCATCGTCTTAAGAATTAACTCTATTTTGCACCACTAGACAAGAAGCATGGGTGTGAGGATTAAACGCCATTTCTATCTTTTGATCCTTGATGGTGACACAATAAAATGTAAATCATACTAATTATTTTGAATCTGGAGCTCTCTTTTCCCCCTCAAAATAAGCTGTAAATCAGTCAGGTACAATGCAGAGAAGTGAGGCAAGAGTTATTTCCTCCTAGTTTCATGGATGGAATTGATAATAAATGGTGAAATACCGCCATCTACAGTGGAATTATAAAAGACGTTATCAGAAGTATTTTTATGTAACACAATCCTACAATTCTGAAGTAAAAGAAAAATCAAGTGTGTGTGTGTGTTTTGAAGTTGTTGCTATGTGCTATCAAATCAGTTTGTGCTGTTATGTGCTATCAGCCCTCATAGGGCTTTTAAGTTATGTGAGATATTTTAAGGAGTGGTTTGGGACTTCCACAGCCAAACAGAAATTTAAACCTACGTCTTCTGAGTTCTAGATCATCACTCTCTCCACTATACACACCCTTCTCTCTCCCTCTTTCTCTCCATATACATATATTTCAGCAAACTTTCTGAAAGCTATTTTGTTGTATACCTCCATACATTATTATATCCTATATGTGTGACTCAAGCCAGATTTTCAGAGGCATAGAATATAAGAATGAATGAACCTATGCATCAAAAAGCTTTGTAGAAGGTTTACTGAAAAAGACATATAACAAAAGAAAATTACCTAGAATGTCTCCTTAATTTAAACCAGTGGTTCTTAACCTTGGGTTACTCAGGTGTTTTTGGACTGCAACTCCCAGAAGCCTTCACCACCAGCTGTGCTGGCTAGGGTTTCTGGGAGTTGCAGTTCAAAAACATCTGAGTAACCCAAGGTTAAGAACCACTGATTTAAACAACTAAATGCATGTGTGTACAACAAATACTGTACTGTAGATGAGTATTGCATGTCCTGTGTATGGTATTTAAAACATGCATACCTGCACAAATGTCCAGCGTGGTGCAGTGGACAGAGTGATGGATCAGGACTCCAGAGGCTTAGGTTTGAATCCCTGCTTAGCCATGGAAACTCACCAGGAATATGGAATATATAAAATCATCCTTAAATATCTCACTAACCTTGAAAGCCCTGTTAGGGTTGCCATAAGTTGGTTCCACCTTGATGGCACATAGAAACAACATATTTGTGTAGCCATCTAAAGAAAAGGTGTGGCAATGTGTAGGCAATGAGTAGGCTGACACACAGAAGCCCAGTCTCTCCTGCCCTTCATCTCCACTTGTTCCGCCATTTGGCCTTCCAGCACTGAGCAAGGAAGTCTAAGAAGTATTTCTGACTGCACACAAAATCCCTGTCAGCCTTTCCTAGTCAAAGAAGGAGAGTTGTGGGTAGATCCAGCACATGCAGGGATTTTGGAGACTGGGCTAACACATTGTATACCTACATTGGGCTGGCCTGCCATTAAAGAGAGTCAGATCTTCTTACTGTGTGTGTGCAGACAAGGTTGGAACTCTACCAATTGCACTTTATGAATCTTCTCTCTGTTCCCTTCTGGCTGGAGAACAAAACTGTATATGACATACAGCATTCCTAGGCTTCCTAAACTAGCTGTCTCATGTGTGATGGAAGACGCTCTCCTGTTGCCAGTGGACAGAATTCAACTTCCACTACCATTCCATTCAGTTTCCATGCACTGTGTGGGCAAGAGAGTACTATCTTGTCCTTCACCTCAATCAGCATAATGTCTAGGGACAGCCTGCCCTACACACATCCTCTGAACAGCTGCATAAGACGCAGGTTAAACACTAATGCTCATGCTCTTATTAACAAGCTAGGAAATACTATTTTACCTATGTGCTATTTCATTGTGCTGTAAAGAAAATATGAAGCCTCCCAGTCTTCTGATGCAAGAATGTTTTCTGCAAGAATCATAGAATCATAGAAAGACATTAGAACCAACAATGTTTTGTACTTACTTGCAGGTGAAAGCTTGCAGATCGGACAAATAAACACATATTCCCTCATGGAAACAGTAGGATGGTGGGCAGTCAACAGAACTCTCTCGTTCAGATAATGTGGATTGATCCTTGGTTGCAGTGGTAGGAGAGGTGGCAGATTCTGAAAGATAGAAACACATAATTCTGCAAGATCCACAAGGCGGCTTTCTTAAACTTGTTTCTTAAACAGCACAATATTCATGCAGTAACGCCTGTGACAAAGCAAAAGTCTTGTTTTGATGTCACAGAATGCTTATCAATAATCCTGAAGTCAAATTAGGCATGATGGGGAAATGCATAATCTACAATGCTGAAGTTTTGAGTAATTCACTTAAACAATATGCTGGCAATTCAATGTCAACTGCCTCGTGGCACAGTGGTTAAACTGCTGTACTGCAGCCAAAACTGTGCTCATGACCTGGGGTTCAATTCCCAGGTAGCTGGCTCAAGGTTGACTCAGCCTTCTATTCTTCCGAGGTCAGTAAAATGACTACCCAGCTTGCTGGGGGGGCAATGTGTAGCCTGCATAATTAATTTGTAAACTGCCCAGAGAGTGCTTGAAGCACTATGGGGCAATATACAAGCAGCACGCTTTGCTTTGCTTTTTAACAATGGGAATCAGTGAGTTTGATTAGTAACATGGCTTTTAAAAGTAAATGTTCACTGTCTGAATCTTATGACTATTAAACTAACATAAAATTATTCAATGAGTATTATGACTAATTCGATACTTGCTTTCATTTATAAACAAGGCAATGATTTTCAATAAATCTCTGCTTGGTTAATCTATTTCACCACCACCATGCCTTCCATTAGAGATGCCAATCAAAAGGAGAAATAAATATCTACCAACAACTAGAGATTCTGCATATTGATGAATTCTTGATGTTGCACATCACCAACCACTGGGCACATGTAAAAAGAGATGATAAGGATTGCCCACTGCTTTTACTGAATTTACAAATTTAACATGGGCGTATTTGAGTCTGCAGGCAAGCCAGGAGACTCCTCAAAGGCAAGGTATTTATTTATTTGTTTGTTTGTTTGTTTGTTTGTTTGTTT